CCTGGAACCACCCCAGACCCCCCCCCGCCCCGCCAGAGCCCCCCCATGGCCTCCCCCTCCCCCCTCCCCGCCCCCACGCCCACCAGAGTCTGCGCTGACCCTGCCTTGAGCTGCGTGAGCGCCTCCTCCACGCGGGGCTGGTTGTAGCGCACCATGTAGCTGTGCATGTCGGGGTAGTTGCTGCGGATGTTCTTCTCCGTGGACCCGTTGGGCACTGTCCCGAACTTCAAGGGTGGGTACTGTTCCTGGGGCCGCTGGAACTGGGGCAGAAGGCAGAGTTATTAAGGCTTCTCCCCCAGGAAGGTCCCCAACCCGATGCCCCATTCCGGAGGGTACCTGCCACCTGGCAGACACCCGGGCCTCAGGAGCGTTTCCCAGATTAGCTCACTACCCCAGGGAATGTGTCGCTGCTCCTACCCAGCATGCCTGGCTGCACACAGGTTATCAGAGGCCCAGCTCAGGCAGGGGGAGCTAGGAGTTCTGCCGTGCCAGGCGTTAACCTTCAGATTGCTGGATCGCAGCAGGGGTGAGGGCAGCTTCTACTAGTTTATTCAGAAACAGGTGACTAGTTTAGCAACAGCTGTAGCCAGGTGGGTGTGTGCTGGGCCAGCATCAGGTGTGTTTATGACTACAGATTTCATAAAACCATGGTTCTCCCTCCATCCTAGGTAAGACACAGTCAACACAATGTATTTCTGTATTGTTCTGTTCCGTAATGTTGGAAAAATGCTTATTTCAACCCACTGAGTTGATTTCTCAACCCTGTCACAGGTCATGGCTGGTGAACCACTCCTGTCTCAGAGTGTTCCCCTTTCGTCCAGGAATACATTGTAAGCCCAGTGAGGTAAGTGCAGAAACCAAGAGATGTAGCATCTGGACCACTGTAATGGGATAGTTTTACATCTGTTGAATCCAATAAATAAAAATTGGGGTTGACTTTTGTTTGTCTTGGTTTTTAAATTTTATTTTACTTTTCTAGTAATTCATTGGAGCTGTATTTTACTAAAGCACTAATCTTGGATGAATTAGAAGTTTCAGAAACAAATCATTTGAGCCAGGCATGGTGGTACATGCCTGTAGTCCCAGGAGTCTGGGAGGCTGAGGCAGGAGGATGGCAAGTTTGAGCCCAGCCTGGGCAACTTAGTAACTTAGTGAAACTCTGTCCCAAAATTTATTTATTTTAGTCAGGGTCTCACTCTAAAATTCAGGCTATCCTTGAATTCACTGTGTAGCCAAGCCTGGCCTTGAATTCTTGGCAATCCTCCTGCCTCAGCTTCCCAAGTCCTGCAATTACAGGCTTGTGCCACCTTACCCAGCCCAAAATTTAAAACTTTTACAAAGGGTTGGAAGATGGGCCGGGGATTTAGTTCACAGGCACCGCGCCTGCCTGACAAGCAAGGTACTGAGTTCAATCTCTGGTACCAAAGGGGGAGGGGGTGGAAAGGCCCTGGGTTCAAACCTCAGTACCAATAAATAAATAAAATAGCCATCTAATCTTCCTATTTGAGAGCCATACTAGTCTAGAATATCCTGTTTGGTGACACTGCCACTAGAACATTGGGGACCCCTTTTCCCCAGGAACACTTTAAAGGTTCACTGTGAAACAGCCTCCTTGCAGAACATTACATCCTGGGATTCTTCTTGGGCAGGATGCCCTGGAATCCCCCTCTGGCCAGCCACAAGCCACGCTGTGTGCTCCAACCACAGCCACCACCTTCCTCCACACACCTTGCGGTCACTGAGCCCAGACACGGTGTCCACATACTCCTCCTGGATCATGAAGGCGGCCAGGTTGGCGGTGTAGCTGGCGAGGAAGATGACGGCGAAGAAGGCCCACACCAGCACCATGATTTTGCTGGTGGTTCCCCGGGGGTTCTCCACAGGCACCGAGTTATTGAACACCAGGGCCCAGAGCAGCCAGATGGATTTCCCAATGGTGAATGTTGAGCCGCCAGGGCCTGCAGGGGGCCAGGACCGGGACATGGACCCCAGATCCCTTCTGCTCCATGATGGAGCAGAAAGAACTACAGCTCCCAATGGCCCTTGGGGCCTTGTGTGCCCCCCACCAGGCTATGGCTCTGCCTCAAGGGCTGCTAGGAAATGTAGTTCCACGTGTGGTAGGGGAGCTGTGCAGTGGGGTGAATAAGGAAAGGGACTCACGCTTGCCCGTGGCCAGGCTGCGGTTGTAGCCCACGGGACTGAGGTACTCGAAGATGAAAACAGTGACGGCGACCACAGTGAGGCACATGACAAACATCATCACCCACACAGCGGGGCTGTAGGGCTCTAGGGACAAGGGAGGTAGCGTCATGACTCAGTCAAGCAAAGGACTGGGGGGCACAGAAGACAAGCAAAGGGAGTTCAGCCAGATCTGATGCCATCCTGGTTCCCAGTCGTGGGCTGGGGATTTATCTCAGTGGCACAGCGCCTGCCTGCCAAGCATGACGTCCTGAGTTTGACCTCCAGTACCCCCCAAAATAAAGAAGTCCCAATCTTAGGGCAGCCCTACGGCCCACACAGAAGCCTAAGAGGCAGTCTCTCTCAGAGCCGTTGCACCCATGTCAGTGGTGTGTGTGTGTGTTTGAGACACGGCCTTGCTATGTAGTCCAGGCTGGGCTTGAACTTAGTACGTAACCCAAGCTGGTCTCGATATTCATGGCGATTCTCCTGCCTCAGCCTCCGGAGTGCTGGGATTACAGCATCACCACATCCGTCCCCATTTTTCTGTGGCTTTAACACCCAATCTCAGCTGTTTGCTAACTGTTATCTGGGCCTCAGACCCATCCTCCAGGCCACTTATGTCCTGCACTGACACAGGCCAGCTCCACACCCATCCGACCCCTCTGCCATCCTCTCTCTCTCCCGCTCTTCCTCCTGCCCCGTGGATCGGGGTGGCCACTCCATTCTCATGGCCAACATCGCGCGCCCTTCGTCTGCTCCCGGGACCATCTGGCTCCGCCCAACGCCCCCATGGCTGAGAGGTGACTCTGCACCCCTCCCTCAGAGCCTTGCCACGGTGCCCCAGAACTCCAAGATAAAGTCCCTGCCCCTCAGCCAGGTCCTGCCCTCCTCTCCGGCCACATCATTGTCACTGGGCCACTCTATAACCACCATCGAGCCACACCCTCACCTCCACACCCTTCCAGAGATGCCACCTGCCCTGAACATCATTGACGGTGCTCCTGGCATGTCCCCTCTCACATTCAGCAACTGTGTGTCGCCTCTGGGAGCTCAGGGTTCCACCTCTCAGACTGTCCCCGTCACGGGACAAGGTCACCACCCTGGACTGTCGCTGCGACATTGGAGGACCACCTGTCACCTCTGCAGGGAAACTTGGGGTGGGGGGCATAAATCGGGGCCTGTCACCGCCCTGCCCTGTGCTGCCTGGAGGGAGGGGCCCCACACCTGGCTTCTTCCCAGTGTGCCCTGCTGGGACTGCGGCACAAGAAAAAGGCTGCCAGGGACAAGGTGGGGGTGCGTGCGCGTGTGTGCGGAAAATAATAACGCACCGGAAGGGACACCTCTCCTTCCAGCTCCTCCTTTCCCAGGAGCTCTGCTCCAGCTTCCTAGAGCCAGCAGGCCCTGACGTGGGCTGCACATCTCTCCCGACTCCTGCTCAGCAGACGGGATTTCTACCCAGTCCACTGCAGAGCCACCGGCCCCTCTGGGATCATCTTCCTACTCACAACCTGGGTCTGTCTACTTCTCTCACCCCACTGCCACCTTCCTGCTGTGCATGACATCCTTTCTCTGACACAGGCCTTGAGGTGGCCTCGTAGCCAGCCTCCTGCTCCCACAGGGCTGACCTTAGGTCCCATATTGTCTTCTAGAGTTAGACCCCTTGCCACTGCAGTAAAACCAAAAGGCAGACTTCTTTTGGTGGCATTTGAGGTCCTGCAAAACCTGCCCGCTCCCACTCAGCCTTCACCTTCTGCCCTGTCCCCCACTCCTCTCCATCTCTTCGCCCTGGCTCCTTTGTCTTGGTGTCTATCACCCGTGGAATAGCCTGTGTACTGGTTTAAGTTTCCTTTCCGCCTTCCCCATGAGGCTCAGAGCTCCTAGAGGGCAGGGATCTGTCTCGCTCTCCATTCGGTCTCAGCAAGCAGCCCAGAGCCTGGCACGTAGCGGGTGCTCAGTGCTATGGATGGGTGACTTGAGTGCTTATAATGTGCCGGAGCCGTGCTAATCTCTGCTCTTCATCTCACACTGAGACACAGGGGAAGGCTTGGCTTTTGTGAAGCCTGAAGTATACACAATTTGGAAGGCTCGCTTTAAGAAAAGACTGCAACTATGAATACAAAAGCAGGGCTGCGATGTGTACAGCAAGAGAAGGCTCCTGAGTTCAGCCTTCTTCATGATAAAATTTGTTCTGGTGAGCGGAGGTGTAGCTCAGGGGTGCCGTGCCACTCCTGCCTGGCAAGTGCAAGGCCCTGAGTTCAATTCCTGATACAAGAAAAAAAATCCTTCTGGTAGGGGACCTTATTTCTCCCATCTTACAGAGTAAGGAACATGAACTCAGAAATGTATCACTTCGCCGGAAGTCACACAGACTCTCACTATGTAGTTCAGAGATCCTCCTGCCTCAGCTATCACAGTGCTGGGATTACAGGCAAGTGCCGCCACGCTCTTCGGAACACGGGCTTCTGATCCCACATGGTTAGGGACAGTTGCTCCATCCTTGTCAAAGTCTGGCTCCCTGTC